AATGCTGCTGCTTTGACCCTGATCAGATGTTGGATAAAGATGGTGCCTTAACTTTGAATATGATTGTCCACTTATCTCTGTATAATGTTTGCACAGAAATCAAAACAAGATTCAGTTGTGGCTGTTATGGTGTTTTTTACTCAGTTTAAACAGACTTCTTATTATGTGTCATGTCTGTTTGGCAATATTACTTTTGTAGTCTGCCAAATAATCTAACTTCAAACAGTATTTCAAAAGTTTTTGGCTGATCCTAAACGTTTTGTTTTTAGATAGTAAAGACTCACAGTTTCCACGTGTTTTCTTGGCAAATGTAATAATGTCATAATCCGTCTGTTTTTTAGTTAACCCCTCTCTCTTTAATAGAGGATTTAGGACAAATCAGATATATATTCTTTAAAATGAAGTGCTCTTTATTTCACCTTGTGTGTTACATTGTTCCTGACTCGCAACTTCCTTAATTGGCAATTAATTATCATTTACACATGAAAGCCGTGAATACATTTAAACATGCTTTTCTGGAGTGATGGCAATACTTATTTGGCTAACAAGTTCAATTAATTGCTGTTCCTTGCCATTAATCATCAGTTAAATCGTACATGTATAAACCAATCATTCAGTTTTACATTTAGTGCATCTGTGTGTTACTATACGCACCGTCACTTTATTTAAGTGTCAATGGTCTTTGCCCTGAAGTAAAACACATGTTGGAATGTCTGAATCAAGTCCTGACTTTTATTGATGTTTGTGTTTGATTATTTGGACACAACTTTATTACCAGTTTTATCCAATTTTCTTTTATTTCCATCCGTCTTTCAGCTCGAGCAATGAAACAATTTCCTCTTCAGCTGCAGGTTTGCTTTGGACTTTGAGTAAACAAACTCTAGATGTTTGCTTAGTCTGGTGACCTCCCCACCTCACACACTCCTCTCATCTCTTCACAACACACACACATACACACACACACACACACACACACACACACACACACACACATACCATGTATACATCACTTCAGGGGACATTACATTGACTTACATGCATTTCCTGGAGACTTATCCTAACCTTAACCATAACCAACACATGCCTAACCCTAACCCTAACCAAGTCTTTACCCTAAAATTAATGATCCCCCTCCATTTTGTCCCCATAAGGGAGGCGAGTCCCCACACGTGACTGTGTAAACATATTTAGGTCCCCACAAGGATAGTAATGCTAGGCCACACACACACACACACACACACACACACACACACACACACACACACACACACACACACACACACACACACACACACACACACTCTTTAATCATTGGCCCTTTGTTTTTGGACTCTTAATTTACCTCTTATCAAGACGATTCTTGTCCTTTTTCTTGAACTTTTCTCCCCTTACTGTCTTCCTTTTTTCTCATTATATCTTCTATGCTTGTTTTTGTATTCAATGTTTCCTTCCTTGACAATTCCTTGACAAGAGAAGTTTTCACATTCCCTGTGATTAATGTCAACTTAAAACCTTATCTATAGAGGACAAGTCATCCTTTGGAAAAAGCAAATATTTCCCTTGGAAAGACAAGGCAACATCACTCACTGAATTCAGTCAGAATATAAAACTGCTGCTACTCTTCCTCTTGGCTCTTCCTCTCAACGTTATTTATTCAGGCACATTAACTGGACCATTTCCACACCAGAGACTGTACAGCAGAAATATATAGTTTTAAGAGAAAAGCATTAACTGTCTTTCTGGCCACCTCCCAGCCGCTGTAAGAGAATAAAAACCTGGCGAAGCGTTCAACTAGGAAGCAAGAAATCAGTAGAAACGATCACAGTTTAAACAAGAAACTCAATATCAAAATATGAGAGAAGTGCACAATGATTCTTTATTGCTGTCTGACACACAAACACAGCGCTGTGGATGCTTGATGTCTCTTGGCGGGGACTTTGGATGTGTTGGCTGGCTGGGCGACTGACCGCTGTAGAGCTGAGGGTGTCCGTGTGGTCGGATACAAACCGCCCTGCCTCCAGGCGGCTCCTCAGACCTGTGGTGCTCAGCTGGATGATGGATCGGGAGCAATGTCCCCCCCCCCCCTGCGGTCAGTGCTAATGAAAACCAGCCGTGATGAGGCAGCTGCTTTCTCTTCCTCATATCTTACTGCGAATCCACGTCGTGTTGCGCTGCCATCAGGAGGCTAATGGGTCATTAGGAGCTTCAGGGTCAGAGGGGTTACTTTAAAAATGCTTACCGTTTACAGTTCACTAGTTCCATAAAAAAAATCACATTTAAAAGTAATGTCATCTGATTACTTTCAGTTACTTTTGGATTAACTGTGACCTAAGATTTTCATTGCCATAACTACACTATAGCTATGTACAAATGACAATAAAAGACTTGAATCTTGAAACTAGTTATCAAATGCAATACAAAGCCAGGTGTTTCATAGTGATGTCACTATGTTAAGGAAGTAAACAAAGGAGTTTAATGGATACTTTTAAAGCACTATATCACCCCTTTAAGGTTTATATGTGTATGTGTTTGGATGAGAAACCGTTTTTGCTCCATAGCTTTAAAAAGAGTGCATGATTAAAAAAAATATTTGGCAATTTGAGTGCATCCTTTCCAGAAATATTGTTATTTATGGCTTATCGGTTAATGCTAGTCCTGCTCTACATATGAATGAACTTCCCGTCTTACTGAGAGGCTGATCTGAGTGACTATCTGTCTACTATGAAAGATCGCATTCAGTGAAAGTCAAAGTGGAGAATGAGGGCAGGTATACTATACAACACTTGTGAAAGAAGAGAAGCAGTCTGTTCAGTGTTGAATAAAACAGGATCTTTGCCTCTGCTTTGTATCATTTTCTTTGGCTCTATGTATCTTTTGATATGCTTGGTGAACCTCTGCTTTAGTTATATAATAAAACGTTAAACTTATATGTAATGGTTACACACATTTCCTAAAGGAATAATGTTATCGAAACCACGGCCTGGCTTGACATTGACAGATGTGCATTGAGCCATGAATTCAAGCCAAACCTTCCATAAATGTTCCAGACTGTTATGCGATACACATCTCTCCTTTTATTATTCACACTTATCATTGCACTCCTGTTATCTGCAGCCATGTGTGCTGCATGTAATGAACCCTTGAGAGTGAGTAGTATTCCCTTGCTCCAGTATAAACACAGACAGGAGTGATACCGCTCTCAGTGTTTGACTCGTAGCAGGCTCCTCCTCTGTGTATTTTTATAAAGCGATAAAGGACACCATGCAGAGAAAGCGCACAAGTCAGCCATTATTCCTGGACTGCCCTCGATTTGGCCACGTTCCCTTGGAAAACTCAGGCTTTGTTCCCTTCTTAACTCGCTCCATCTCCTCAGTCTATCGCTCTCCTGGTATGCGGTGTCATTACTACGGTATTCAATGGTCCTTGTTGCAGCTCAACTCTGTTCTGTTCTCTTTGTGAAAGAGCTCACACACATCCTTTAGCATGCCACCACAGAACATTTTAAAAAGCCTCTCATCACTACCACACAAGTGTTTAGGTTAATCAACCTCAAGGTGTACATGAACATAGGGCTGCTCGATTATGGCAAAAATCATAATCTCGATTATTTGGGTCAATATTTGATATCACAATTATTAAAAACGATTATCCATTTACTTTTTAACAGTTGATTACCCTGAACTTTAAGAATAATTCAACTGAAAAACCAATAACATTTTTTTATTAAAAAATAAATAAATAATCGTTTTATTGCGATTATGTTGTTTCCATAATCGTTGCAAGCCAAAATCGTAATTGCGATTTAAAATACGATTTAATTGAGCAGCCCTACATGAACATGGAACTAATTACCTCCAGAAGGGAAAAGGAAGAAGGTCCACTCTTGATTAACATACAGTAAAGACCTTTTTGGCAACAGTTAGGACTATTTTTAACCTGGATAACAGTTGCAAATCACAGCAGTAAATCAACATCGTTAGGATCTTGATGTTAAATCTGAAAAAATGAAGACATCTGTATTTGGCAGAAGGTTGATTTCTATAGATACTAAAAAATAAAGGCTGGGTCCCTATTTTTGTATGTCAATGTTCTTTGTTGATACCCGTTTTAATTATTGAGGTGTTCCCCAGGGGTCCATACATGGCCCACTGTTGTTTTCATTTTGCATATTTTTGTCAGTCAGTTTATACCTAACCCTAACCATGATGTCCTCTTCTATGGAAATGTACATCATTTCATTTTGACTGAATGTCAGGATTCCCCTGACTTGATTGGAAGTTTTTTTAGATCACCTACAGTATGTACGTTTTGATGCATTTTACCCCGTGCACAATCAGGGTGTGACAAGATTCTTTCTACAGGTCTTAAAAAGAAGTGAAGAACTAGACATTCAGGACATTTTGATCCTCTCTTGACCAAATACAAACCTCATTTCAGCCAGAAAACGTGTTAGGTCCTTTTACATTGCTGTCTTTACTTATCTATTTGAAGATGCATGCTTAAAACCATGCTGAAGTTGAAAGATTAAAAATCACCTTTCTACTATGGATCAGAACAGATTTCTAGTACTATTTATGTTTTTTTTCTTGCCTGGTGCCTTTTTCTTTATTAATGTATTTTTATCTATGCATTTCTATATCATTGAAGAGGCATTTCATTTTAATTGAAGATGCATTTTATAATCATTATGGCCACATTTGTGCTATTCAGACACTTCTTTGGAATCAGCACCGCCACAAACATCTTTAAAACTGTTGAATAATCTTAGATGAATATTGAAATATGTTGTATCTGTTTCTGTCCCTCAACTGTGTCTTTTATTGGTAACTTTGTCTGGTAAACTATGTTATAAATCATCAGGGACAGGGAGAAAGCCCCTTTCAGGATTTTAAAGGGTTTTTGGATTTCAGCCCTGTTTATTTTTCATTTTCAGCTTACATTTTTCGTCAAGTGAAAAACTGCAGACATGATAACGGTGTATTCATCGCTCTTTTCCATATGTAGGTTTGTTATAAATGGTGTTGTTCAAAAGACTAAGTGTACCTTTGTGTGTCTTCCTACAGGTGGCCTACCTGGGTAAGGTGACTATTTCTGGGACTCAGTTCCTGTCCGGCTGCACCGAGTCCGCGGTGGTGGGTCTGGTGGAGCAGCACGGCCAGCAGCAGTGTAACTCTCTGCTGGAGATCCGGCCCTTCCAGGTGCGTCTCCACCACCTGGACGGGCACGGCGAGGCCTCGGTAACCATGGACACCTACCAGGTGGCGCGGATCGCCTACTGCACGGCGGACCACAGCGTCAGACCCAACGTGTTCGCCTGGATCTACCGGGAGATCAACGACGACCTCACCTTCCAGATGGACTGCCACGCCGTGCAGTGCGAGAGCAAGCTGGAGGCCAAGAAGCTGGCGCACTCGATGATGGAGGCTTTCCGCAAGACTTTCCACAGCATGCGCAGCGACGGACGCATCCACAAGAGCGGCTCGTCGGACGACTTTGCCGAGGACTCGTCCTCCCCTGAAGACTCGACCCCGGACGACGGTTGATCGAAAACTCGCCTGATTTCCTGAGGCCCATCCTAACAGAGTGGATGGATGGACAGATTACCTTCTCTCTCATCTCCCCCCTACTGTTTCTTTCTGTTATCAATTTGGAACAATATCAACCGACCCTGTGAACCAACACGCACAGGATAGTGAAGTTTGGCAATGGAAGGTAGAGTTACAAGGAGTTACAAAAGACCTACATTTACACACAGGGATAGCAAAGTGCTGCCACTTTGAGTAAACGGTCCTCGAAGACCTAACGGGGGGCTTCAAGGACCTTTGCAAACGCCCTCAAGAGATTCACTCGACGTTTCCATCTACATCTTCAAACCACTGTTACTCTTGCACTCAGCAGAGACTCTGTGTGTGGTTCTTAAGCTTTTTCACCCAGGAAACAACAACAAACTTTTATTCCCTGTTCTTCTGACCCCAGATCTATTGCTACTCTTGCCATGTAGGGACCTCCACAGAAATAGGCGTGTTACCTATTTCGAGGTCCCAACCCAGAGTTTATGAGACTATTGGAGCACATAAATTCTTTAAATGTTGAATCTCTGTTACAATGCCTTCGACCTTGGTAAAAGCAAATGAGGATGTGAAAGAAAGGAAAAGCCTTTAAGCACTATAACTATCATGGTACCCTACCCAACATTTCTTAATTTTAACACGATGGAGACACAGCTTCTACCACTGTGTCATTTTAAAGGTACTTATAGATCCAGCACCTTTTTTAGAAAATAGGTGCTAGAGACTGTATATTTTACATTTGAGAAGTAATCACAGGCCTGTCTCCCTAATCAGTTCCTTTTTTGAGTATACCAAAATTCAGGCTGGATTTCTCCTCTCAGATTATGTGCCTCACTTTCCTCTCACATTAGTTTGGTCTCTTACCCAGGTCCTTGTGTGTATGTGTGCGTGCCAAACAATTTGTCCGTGTGTAATTGCTTCTGTACTTAGTGTATATGAATGTACATGTGAGTGCTTGCATCTCTGTGTCTGAAAGATAGGGGGAGGATACGAATGATTACCTGGAAGACTTCTCAAGCATCCGTTTTTGATGCGTTTAAAAAAAATCAAGACATGGTACTGTGACCATTTGCCACGTTTTCTTACTTTTATCTCGTATGAAATGAGTCTAAATGTGCCAGTCGCTAAAAACACAGCCGTCCAACGTAACGACTGATGGCCTCTGCTGAATGTACGATGAGTCCAACGTGCTGTGAGCGCCTCCCGCCATCACTTCAGTGTCCCATAATGTCCTCATGCTATCACAGAAACTCTGTACAGGGCAGTAGGTGACCAGTGTCCCTCTGCTGCCCTGCAACGATGTACCAATGTGGGGCAAAAACTCATCAGAACCCCTTCCTCTTCTTTTCTAACGGGACTGTATTGGACGCTATCAGTGGAAAAAGCCTTCGGTCAAACTCACTCAGAAAGATCAGGTGGCTCTGGTCAACACACACACATACATATACACACCTACATACGATTATACACACACATTGTAATTGAGTCTTGCTCAATAAGCTTATGTAAATAAATACACATTTATCACTTTCCAAATATTACAGCATAAATGTTGATAGCTATTTTAAATAATACAAAAAGATGTTGAGAACCATCATACGATACAGAAACAGTGTTATAAAACCTACTGTGAATAATAAGTGGAGAGCCTGATCGCGGTGGCTGTGCGCGTGTGTGTAAGTGTGTGAAGGTGAGGGGTGTGTATGGACAGGCCAGAGGGGGGGCGAATGTTTATAAGGCTGTAGATTACTGTGTCATGTCTGTCTGAGAGCTCAGACGCGCTTTACATGTTTGAAAAATGTTACCTTAAGTGTTTTATATACAGTGTTTGCAAAGATCAAGAAACAATTGCATATAAAGTATTTACCAAGAACCAAGCGCACGATGGTGTGGTGTTTTCTCTCATGGGTTACTCTCTACTAAAATATGTTTATGTCGTTTAAACTCTCCCTTGATTTGAATCCCCTGCTGTGGCTTCATGTGGGAGGTGTAAACACAAAGCATGTTCAGCTGCAGGGTGACCAGATGATTCCCTGACCAGCTGCCAGGACAGATGTAAAGCAGAACCACGCTAACACATGTTGCGGCAAACTGGAACACAAAACTATTCAAGGTATGAAATCTGTTCTGAGATGTCTTGTGTGCTTTAACAGGGCCAAATGATGCTAATTTTCAGTTTTATATTTGTATTCAGTGCCTCTACTGCGACATTTCAATGCTTTAATGTTCAAAAAGCTCTTTATTTCTCTCATACTGCCTGTGCTGCAGCACCTCTTTTCACCCTCTGTCTGAAACCAGAGCCCAGTCTGCTCTGATCACAATGTGTTGGAGCACTAGCCAATAGAAGTGCAAGTGTTAGATAGTGATGTCACTATGTTCAGGAAGTAAACAAAGGAGTCCAATTGAGGTGTTTCATGCAGGGGAGTGGGCACTTCAGGATAATAGCCTTTGCAGACCACAAAAACCTAAATAACCAGGAAAAGGAAAACCCACACAGTTTAACAAGGCCTCTTTAAGGATTGTTTAGATCCAAAGACGCGATATTCTATCAAAAGGGCTTCTCATTCTGTCTCCTGTAGGTGGGGTTGAGTGTTTCACATTCACTCCTCTGCTTTGGTGGTCACAATTTCCCTGAACAAACTCATAAACATAACTTTATAAGATTTCCAAGCAGATTTCACGTTATGAGTGTGACAGTGCCTCCATCCGTCATCTGAAGGAGGTTTGAGCCTCCCATTCTTCACATTCCTCCGTCCTCTCAGATCTCTTCTTTTATTGCCTTGTTGTTCTCCGGCCTCCCCTCTGCCAGCCCTCAGCTCTTCAAAGTGCCCACATCAAAAACAAGATAACTGGCTGCTCTCTGCTTCTGTGGCTGGCGATCATTTTGAAGCTTAAGAGCTGCTACGAATTGGGAGGCAAAATGGATGCTGTGAAGAATGTTAATGTGCATTGAATGAAAACACTGCCTCCCTCTGGCAAGACGGTTCTCTTGCTTTGAAGATTTTAAAAAGGGCCTTTTCTTGTTCATTACACATAACCTTGTGTATGGCAGGAGGGAACATTTTGTGTTGGTACATCATTTGACTTCTGTGGGTTGAAAATAGTTAAAACGTGCTAAATTGTGCACATGCATAAGGCAGACTTGTCTTAATTATTTGCATTAACTACATTCGGAAATAGAAATCCTTTATTTGTTCCATATTGGAGAAATGTACAGCATTACAACATCAAAGGTAAAGTGCAATAAAGAGGCAAAAAGTACCACATCCAAATAAAATACCCCAAAAAAAGGAAGTTAAAAAGAAGTAAAGTAAACATAAGGTATGCAAGTATTGACGAAGCAGCCAGTAATATATGTATATATTGTAAAATTAAAGTGAAAATAGTGCATGGAGGTTTTTGCAAAGAAGTGTTTTATTTATTCAGCTATTTTAAAAAGATGTAATCTGACCACTCTTGTCTGCTCTGTAAGTTTTCTAACTCCTCCTGAGTCCTTCCCCTCTCTTCCAGCTCACTGTAAACAAGCCTCCCTGTTTAGATGCCTCTTTGTCTCTGATCGGTGCTGAGCCCACTCTCCGACCGCTCTCCACTGAGCTCTTGTGTTTGACCCACTTCCATCAGCACAGAGGGGCCCGGTGGGGGCCCAGAAAGAGGGCCACCCTGTAGCCTGCGTCTCTGCTCCGCTGTGGCGTCAGTCAGCTCACAATGCTGCTCTGTTAGCGCTCCAGCTGGCCGCTCCTCCTCCTTCACAGTCCCAGAACCTCCTGTCTCTCCGACCCGCCGAGGGGCCAGCAGCCTGAGGTCCGGCCGGAGGAGCTGTGCCAGCGCTGGCGTCTGATCAGACTGCTGTTATTCACTCTCTATCTCCGCCTTACTCTCTGTTTCTCTCTGCTACGCTCCCAAGCAGGGGGCCCGGGCCTCTTGGAGAGAGCAGCCACTGCAAACATGTGTGTGTGAAATGGACCCGCACACATTCTTTCTGCCTCTGGCCTGACTGGTGAAGCAAGCCTTAACATGGGGAAACAATCCTTACTGGTTCAAATTATTAAAAAAACATTTGTGGAGAGTGTAAGCACACATTTTTAGCGGTGTTGGAAGATCTCAGATTCTTTACTTAAAGAGGCCCTGTTATGCTTTTTGGGTTTTCCCTTTCCTATATTGTGCTATATAGTATAGGTTTTTGTGCATGTAAATGGTCTGCAAAGGCTCAAATCCTTGTGTTTCCTCCAGAGGGAGTTTGTCTCCCATACACTCCCCCCTGCCTGAAACGCCTCCGTTGTTTACTTCCGTAATATAGTGACATCACTATGTAACACTCGCTTTTATTGGCTAACGCTCCAACACATTGTACGCAATAGGCTAAGGGGCGGGACATCTCTAAGCAGTTGACCAATCACATCAGAGCCAGCCAGCTAACCAATCAGAGCAGACTGGGCTCTGGTTTCAGACAGAGGGTGAAAAGAGGTGCTGCAGTATGAGAACAATAAAGAGCTTTTTGAACATTAAAGCATGGAGACATTTGCATGATTCTGTTTTTATTACTTTTTGTTTTTAAGTAAAAGTACGAAAACTATGGTCTTCAAATACTCTGTTTGAGTAGGCCTACAAGTTGAGTTGAAATGGTTACATAAGGTACAAAGTATTTTTAGCAAAATGTACTTTATTGAAAAGTAACAAGTGTTAAAAAAACGTAGTGGAGTAAATAGTAGAATATTTGCCTCCAAAATGTTGTGGAGTAGAAGTATAAAATACAACTACTCACGTCAAGTAAAAGTATGTCAAAATAGTACTTTAGTAAATGTACTTAGTTACATTGAACCACTGGTTTTCAGCCAGGCAGATATGCAGTACTCTAAAAAGAAACCAGTCAGTTTTTTATATAACATTGAACCACTGCTAATTCAGTACAGAGATGATGCAGTATGCCATTTTGCAGACAATAGACGTATTTTTAGTCTTTCCTATTTTAAGTTTCAATGAGTTTTATTTTCATTCTGTGTTTGCCATCATGATGTTGTGAAACTTTTATATAACCTCCATTACTAAACCAAACTCAGAGTAAACATTTCTTGATGATGATTGAGGTCAAAATCACATTGTTAAAAGAAGAAAAAGCCAAATTGTGAAATCATGTGGGATGTTTTATGGTGTCCTCAACATTTCACAATACTTGTTTCTGGAAATTTCTGCTTAAGGGTCAAATTCCTTCAAAGACTTGCTCCCTTTAAATCGAAGAAAATATCAATTTTTTATTGTCATTCAATTTTATGTTGAATGCAAGATTGGCTGTAGAAATATTTCTCAATCTTCTCTATTTTTCCTGTTCAAAGTTATGGAAAACTGTGGAGAATTTGGAGCGTTATTAGGAAAGTCAGACATCTAAGTAAATAATGACCATAATATGAAAAGAACAAGACTTTTATATCTGAAACACTGAAGCTAATGTGTCTTCCAGGCCTGACGATGGATGATTTGAGGACATCCTCAGTTAAATACTTCTGTCAGAAATATAAACTATTTCCTCTGATCTATCCAGATCCCCTAAAGCTTTCATATGATTTAGGATTCCTGTCATAATGAAATGTGTGCTGGAATGAATTCGAGAGGGGGGGGTCAAAACTTAAGACTCCAGACTCTGTTACTGAAAGCCCGGAGGATTCAGTGCACATCACTATTGTAATAGAATTACAGTCAGATGAGATGAAGAGTCCCCTGGGCACAGGAAACGTCTGGCCTGAGATCCAGGAGGCTTTGTCAGGAGCGAAGGATCAGAGTCCGCCTGCAGCTCAGTCTGTGAAGTCAGAGTGTAACACAAGAAAACATCGCCGAGGATGTAAACATAACATTATCAGTTTCATGTCAGTTGTCGGAAAGAACATGGCCTCTTTTGAAATATAAAATGTGCTTAGTTTACCCTTAATCCACCCTTAATCCGCTACATGTGTTATAAAGGTTTTTGTATGTAAATGGTCTGCAACAGCGAAAATCCCGAAGTTACCTCCAGCGGGAGTTTCTTCTGACACATTGTACGTGATACGCTAAGGGGCGGGGCATCTCTAAGCGGTTGCCCAATCACAACAGAGCCGGTCAGCCAACCAATCAGAGCAGACTGGGCTCTGGTTTCAGACAGAGGGTGAAAAGAGGTGCTGCAGCACAGGCAGTATGAGAAAAATAAAGAGCTTTTTGATCTGGAGACATGTCACAGTAGAGACACTACATACTAATGTGAAACTGAAAATAAACAGAGTATATTCTTAAACAATAGTTAGACCTTTTAAGAAATTGACTTCCTTTACTCTAAGTTTTTGTACATATGGTAGTTTTCCCTTTCTATCACTCAGAGCTATACATTTACAATTAACCATTAATTGCAAGTAATTAAGATTAGATTCACTTTATTGACCCCAGTTTGGGATTTGTCACCGCAGCATAAACAAGGCAATGTACGTATGTAAGATTTAAAAATGAAATAATTAGTAATGGTTTGATTCTAAAAAAAAAAAAAGGGAGTAGCGGTAAATAAGCTTTAAGGAGGCAAGGGGGGCAAAAGAGGAAAGTAAAAACGATAGCATGTGGAGAAAGAAAAAACAAAGATTAGGTGACAGGAGTGAGGACACGGCTCATCTGGACGGGCATGGTGCACCCAGATGTTGAGGGAAGACTTGGGTAATCCAGCTCTGTCACATCCTGCAGGCCCCGCCAAAGTAAGAGCTCCGAAAATAAACAAACTGAGTCATCGGTTGAGAGTGAGGTCACGGACACAAATAGATGGACGCGTGAAAGAAAATAAAACTTTTTTTCTCTTCTAAATAATCTGATGTGACTAGACTTCCTGCAGCTGGTGGTACCTTCAGTTTCCACTAGGTGTCAGCATAACT